GTGTTATTAAGGACAAAGATACAAACCAAAGTTTCCAACTCATACATCTTCCTTAATCTTCTTAATTCTTTGTAAATGTTGCTTGGAGTGGACTATTAAAAAAAAAAAAAAAGATTCCAGGGCGAGAAGCAAGTTTAAATGCTTGCTCCTTTTGCTTCAATATATCGAATGGTATTCAGTCCTATTCACTGAGTTTGTTGGATTTTGCTTCCTACTTTCCTTCTCTGGACTAAGTCTCTGTAGACAGACAGATCCCCCACAGTATGCACGCACACATACACACACTCCACTACTACATGTATGTCTCCTTCCTCTCAGAGGAAGGTTTAAAGTAGAGATCTCTTCAGATTTGAGAAACAATGCTGAGCTAAAGCCATATTTCAAAAAAAAAAAAAAGAATCCATCACATCAATCACAACTTACCCCATTCTGCCAGTATCTTAGTGAGTTTTTTTGCCACTCTCGCTGAAAGAACAGGCAAGAACAATTTTAGAGGAGGAAAAGTTTTTTTGGGGGCTCATGGTTTCAGAGGCCTCGGTCTACAGAGAGCCACCTATGTTCCTCATAGCTCAAGGACAACTGAACATCACCGTGAAAGTGTGGCGGAAGGAAGTGGCTTAAGCCATCCCTCCAGAAAGCAGAAGAGAGTGAGTTCTGCTCAACAAGGACAAAATAGATATCCCAAAGGCATGCCCCAGGGACCCACCTCCTCTAGCCACCAGCCTACCAGCCTATGGTTGTCATTCCATTAATCCCTAAGGCTCTTCTAACTCAATCATTTCTCCTCTAAACCCAAACATTTCTCTTCTAAATCTCATCTTACACATGAGATTTTGCGGGACACTTCAATTAAACTAACAGCCAGTGATTTCTTTGGGGGTTTTGATGAGTCTGGGCTTAATGGATAATAGGGCCAATTAACTGAGTACTCCCTAAACAGATTGTTTCACAGGTATTCAGGACTCAAGGCTAGGAGTTCAGGACTTTCTGCAAATCCCAAAGAACCAAGAGACTGAACTCAGGATCTGGTCCTATAACCAAGGTTTGTCTTCAGGCCTGTTATGTATTTGTGCATAATCCAGGCAGACTGGGAAAATGACTGGACTAAAAGCCCATATCTCCTCTCAGTTCAAAATGAGGTACATATGATTTCACAAACTGCCTTGTTCAGTAACAAAACTGTCACATTCTATTGACATTTGTAGCATGCTTTTGAAATGAGGCACAAATATTAATCATCTTAATTTATGTACAAAGTATGTGCATAAGTTACACTTATTCCACTGAAAAAAATTACTGAACTATGCAAATATTGAATTATTGTATTAGGAAGAACGCATCCCCCACAAAAACATCACTGTTGGGTGGGGTATAAAGCTCAGGGGTAGGCTACTTGTCTAGCAGGTATGAGGCCCTGGGTTGAATTTTCCACTCTGTAACAAGTATCGTCAGTGTTCTGTGTTTGTGTTAATGACTTACTAGGTACTGGGGTTTAGCAATAGAGAACAGGGGTATGACACGGTGAAACCCCTCAAAATGAGCTCCACCCTTTTTGCAATAAACAGTTACACTAGTGTATACTGAGGGAGAGCATGTAATGCTATGTGAACACAAAGTGGACACCTACCTGAGTCTGGAGGGGCATGGGAGCTACCGAGATTTAAAAAAAAAACAAAAACAAAAACAAAACACCTTAGCTGATTCCTAAAGCTGCAGTAGGTAGATGGACAAAGCAATATTAAGGAACAATTCCTTAAAGGGAAGAATAGCATTTATGTATGCATAGACTTTTGAGATATTCACTTGCAGCATATTTAGTCTAGTTAGAATTAACTGTTGAGAAGGGAGTGGTAAAAATGAGTTAATTTATGATGGATAAGAAAGATAGGGATTAACATTTGCAAACACATGTACCCACCCTTAATCAATCCCATCCCACTAACTTATGGAGGAAGAGTTGGGCAGAGGGAAAGACTTACCAGGCTTCCTCAATAGGGTATGTTGGTGAGTCCTGTTCACCAGCAGTATGCCTTTAAGAAAGCAGAATTCCGAAGAGCCTGCAGACCTGCCCCATAGGGACTAGAGATGAGATCCTAATCATAGCTAAAAGCCAACAAAGGAAACAAATTCCTTCTACCTGTTCTCCCAATTCCCCAAATATTCATGATCTTCTTGAACAAAAAAGATTTTTTAATTATTATTAATGTATTATAATTCTACACTGTTATATTTCTACACGTGCACAATATATTTTAACAATTTCATCTTCTCATATTTTACTTTTCCTTCAAGGTATTTGTAACACATCCCCATCCCATCACTTAAATACAACATAGGAATATAGAACAGAGTCACAACACAAGCATCAGTTAGCCCACAACTGAGTTCCATTTATCCCCATCTCCCTAAGTCTAATGTCCAGAGCCCAAATGGATACATGAAACAGGCAAGCCCAGAATGAAGGCAGTTCCAGGCCTCTGTATGGCTCACTCTCCTCTCCACCAAAACAGTCCTCTCCTCCCCCAAACAGGCCTCCTGATCTCTGAGCCACCAAGGAACTTTCTTTGGGTGTGATTACAGGACTTTAAATGTTATGTAGCATAATGAAACATCCTGTGAAAGTTTGAAATATCTCCCTCATCATAATCAGCAATGGCAGCTCTTCCCCTCTTTACCACAAATGCTGGTGGTGTTGAAGCAAACTGCCATCTCAGACAACTCCATGGTGATGCTTCCCTGTGGGCCTTTCCCCAGAAGCAGAGGCCGAGAGGAAAAGCCCTACACGTTTACATGAAGATTTTTATAAAGATGGTTACCTACAAAGTTCTCCAGTCCAAGAATTAGAAGGTGGAAGGAGCATAGAAGCAGGCAGTCTGGATAGGAGACATTAATTTACAAGAGACAGGAGGGGAGGAAGAGGATACAAAAATCTTAAGCTACTAATACCACTCCAAATCTTCCAGAGCCTTAGAAGCTGAACACTAGCAAAAATCCACCTTTCCCAGGCTTTGGTGGGATACTTTATAAACTTCTATCAGATGCCAGTGACTTGAAAAAGTCACAATAAAAATATCAAAATAGAACATCTCCAAAGGACCATCTTACCCAAGCAGTAAGGGCTCTAACTGGTGATCAAATTGTGCTGACCAATAGTAGTGGTCAGATTTGTTCTAGTGACTAAATTTGACTAGGTCAAATGGGTATCAGCACAGTTCTCATCAACTGAGTAGATTATAAATGGGGGAAGAGACTAAAGAAACAATACTTAGGGCAAGGGATAGGACCTATAGATTTAAGATCACGTACATCTTTCACATTCTCCAATTACATGGGCAACCTGAGCTAGCTGTTCCTGTGTCATTATCTACATGTACAAGACTGAGCAATCATACCCTCAAACTCCTTATACTGAATATTCCCAGTTTCCTCAATCAGAAGGATGCTCATGGGAGCATACTGATAAGGGACACAGGAGGGTTGGGGGACATTCTTGTCCACCAGCTCATTGACAAGGTTTTGAATGATGGCATGATTGGGGGAATTGAGACCATGGTGTAGTACCCGAGGACAGGATCCCTTACAGTAGTTTGGGGTATAGTGATGAGGAGCAATGATCCAATGATCCCAGCCCAGCTGCTGGAAGGTGACTTTAAAAGAATGAAGGGAACATTGATTATTTGCAGACTGATTATTTGCAGACCCATATTTTTTCTGGGAAGAGTCAGAAACCCTAGGCAGGATGCTGCCTGCTTGCCGGACCCTCCTTAAAAGAGAAGATCCCCCTTCTAATATTTCCTCTAGTCCACTGGGAAGTTTAGCCTTCTGGCCACTTTTATGAGTGTCATTAAAATAGAGTAGCACAAAGGCAGTGTCCAAAGGTGAAGTGCCATTCCATTGGATCCCAGGAACCATGCTACCTTTTTGCTGCCGACACATAAAGTGAAGTCTTAGGACCCTGTGACGCTTGTGATTCCAGAGTGTCTGCAGAATGTGTTGTGTGATGTCCATCTCTGTCCAGGCTTCAGACATCAGAGAAGGCTTTGAGGAATTTCTTCCTGAAGGAAAGTGGTTGGTTGGGCTTTGTGGGGCCCAGGGCTCCACATGGCAGGATAAATTAAAGTGAGCTAGGTGGAGTTGTTGATGATAAACCACAGTGGCTCTGACTAGTTGGTATACTTCCTGCTTTGGTCCGAGAGGAAAGTCCAGGGTTTGCATATGCCAGGAACCTGAACACATAAGACAGAACAGGGTCAGGGGATTAGTGTCTTGCCTGGATATTGAGCCTGAAAATCCTTTACAAAACTGTTCAAGAGAAACACAGCTGTAATCAGCCCTGAAATTAA